GGATTTATAGACATTAATTTAGGACATTATATGACTTTTGCAAGTTTTAATGTATAATGCACACTGAGGAGAAAAACTGTAATATTTTGCTAGAAAAGCTATGTAAAATCTGGCCGTGACATTTGTATTGTCAGCTGAATTTTTCTTGGATGCATGTTATACAACGTACAGTTTTTGAAGCATCGACAACACCCAGTTTAGCAGGACCTTCTGTACTTGTAAGCATAAATTCATTTAATTTTACGATCATAGATTTTATGAGTGCTTGCTTGGACTACTTTAGGGGAGGAATTTCTAACCTTTAGGGGGAAGTCTTTCCCGAGATGCCCTACATAAAACTATGTATAAACTACACATATAGAATAATAATAGATATATTCGTATTATATAGCCTACTTATTATTAAACAGTTCTGTGAAATCATTCTTCTTATTTATACTATTTTTGAGCTAATAAAACCTCATTTTTTTACCATTTCTAACTTATACTTGATTAAAAAAAATGTGATAATTGGTTTTATTATTTGGCACGCTATCTGATAACAGTAAGCCTATATAAATCTATTTTGAAAGTAGTTGACAGAGAACCTATCCTTTAATGTGCATTGAAAATTAGCAAACAAACAAAAAAAAGATGTAGGTTCAGTGGTAAAAAATGTTCTGTCACGAATATACAACTGTGTTTTTTTGTTTTTTCCTTTTCCCACTGTCATACATACAGTTCACTTATATCAATATACTTTAGGGAAATTTCTAACCTTTATAGGTAATATTATGGGGTGTTATTTGTGTATAAATAAGTTTACACTCCAATTTTAACGTGAGAACGTTTAAGATCTCTTCACATCGATAGATTAACCTATATACAATACTTCGAAGTTTAAGTTTGAAAAGTTAATGAACTAGATACTTCTTCTGGGCATATTTAGAATTACATTCTTTATTGCCACAGGTGTATTTCTGTCAATAGAGGGCGTTTGTTTTAAAATCAGAGTTCGATATACTGTCCTCGTTACTTTCCTGAATACGTCATCAATTTCCTCACCAAGCACCTCTGCCATCTAGTTGTCGAAACGCTAACTATGACATACAGGAAACTTGCATCAGTTTATTTTTAAAAATTTCGATCTTTTAAATTCTGTCAATATCTAAAAATAAAAAAATAAATTATGCATTATTTTTATGACGTGATTTAAAATTATTGGAATAAATATTTTTAAAAAAGGCCACGGGCGTGTAAACAGGTAAATTCAATTCGAGAAAAAAGCGGAAAACAAACGAAAACTTGACATCCTTTATAAAAATTTGTCCTTTATGAAATTATAACAGGAAAGCTCTGATAACCCTATTGTTGTTAATAACGGATGTCGTCATAAATTAAAATCTTATCAGATAACATTTTCCTATGTGCTAAGTTTATGTTCTATGCTAATCTCTTTAACAGGCAATTCTAAAATCACTTTTTCATATAGTGAGGTAATCTGAAAAAAATTGTCTTATATTGGGTTGTCCATTAATTACGTATACAGTTTTCGAGCCGTTTTTAACAACCTCTCCTTATTTATGCACAATGATGTAATTTGGCAAACTCCCTCTCCTTAATAACGTGAACAATAGTGCACGGACCACCCTGGCATTGAACAAATAACTTAAAAAATGTTCTGAAAATATTTTCTGATAATTTATTCACATGATAAGTAAGTAGGCTTGTAAGAACAAATTCGTATGCCGCTAACAGTACTAAAAAGTAGATCTTATCTTTTTTCCTTTCGTGTATAATGATGTACAATACTTTTCACCACCCTCTTTTTTAAACTGTAGAAATGTGGCCTTACATAATGAATAAAAGACTCTAGTTTTAATACAATATTCATAAGAGTGTCTGTTAACAAATACAAGAAGTTGTTGTTGTATTGAGAGAGCTGAGATGGAGCCTAACCAATCTAGAGGGGTGCCATTGCTTCCTCTAAGCTTCATTGTTAAATTCCTTTCTCCTATGGCACTACGAGGCTCCTCGTAGTGCCATTGCGTATTCACCCAAAATGGGGTGCCCAGGTGGTGAGGGACAGGATCTAACGTACCTGGGACAGACCATTCTCCTCATATTTGACAGGCTTGAACCTTTTCGGCCATCAGACGGCCCATTGTTTTGATTAGAAATTATATCTGTTTATTTAACATTATTTACCACCGAATACTGGTAGTTGGTTGCGGGTTCCCGCCTCACCAACAGGCTGGCCACGTGAAAATTTTTTCAGGTTTTCTTCACGCGCCCTGAACCAAAATATAGGCCAGTTTCCTACAGAATTTCTCTCGGGAGGCATTCACCTTTGGCAGATCACCCACGTAGGTTGATTGGATAGGATTCATCAATCTTATCCAATCAACCTACGTGGGTGATCTGCCAAAGGTGAATCTATCCTAACATAATTTATGTTCTTAATTAATCATTAGCATATATTTCCTTCTTTTAATAAGTATTTTTAATTCTTTCCTTCATTATAAATGAATTGTCTGAAGAATCAATTTATATCTTCATACAACGAGCCATTTCCTTAATACACTTATACTTTATATTGTATAGAAAAACAGTTAACGAGACAATATCCTTTGCTCTATAATTTTACAAATGTTTATTATTAAGTCAAGATAATGATGGATTATCGAGATTCATTGAAATTATTCAATACATCAATACCTCATTAGAAAATATAGATTCAATAAAAGATAATATTTAAGAAGTTATTTCGGACTTATTTTTATAGATATAAATTATTTTATAGCGTATATTCAATTTTACTTCTTCCAAATAGTTTTTTAAACTGTCACGTGCAAACGACACTTATTTTAGTGATTTTAAAGCCCCCCATGAAACTCTGGCACTAAAAAATCCCCATTTAAATCAAGTAAATTGAAACATCCTTGCTCATAGCAGGATTTAAACTGGCGATTTATTACAACTCAGCCAATAAGCTGGCCACGTGACGTCTTCCGGGTTTTATTCATGTGTCTAAACCTAAGTAGGAAGTTCACCCGAGAGGCTTTCATATTGGAAGATCACCCACGTGTTGCATTATCTTATCCCATTGACCCAAACTACTCTCCTTTCACTTTCATGTTTTGGGGTTCATGTTTTGTCTATCTTTTCCATTCTTTCTATCCACCTCTTTCTTAATCCACGCTTTATAGTATCATTTTTTATTGTTTGTTCTTTTCTATTCTTTTGTCTTCATTCATTAGGTTTTCAATGATTGAAGATGAAAGGGATAAAGATACTTATAAGTAATTTACGTAAAACAATGTGTGGTTTTCGACTTTCTGATATTCGTATTTCGGACATAATACCTTTAATTCGCTTTTTATACGCCATGTTCTTACTTTCGTACATTTTTCAGCGGATAAACAAAATTTTAGAGCTTTCGTGGTGGCTCTTTCTGCTTAGTTCCGTTAATACCACTTGTAAAAATTAAGTTTTATTGCCCGTTTTATGTTTAATTTATGTTTTAAGTGAAATTTTAATTAAAGTTTGATATTTTTTTACATATTAACTGAAAAAACACTAAAGTTTTCTTTATAGCCCTTTGGGAATTGAACCGTCTTCTAACGAGTAACTCATTATTCATCATTAAGTCCGAAAGCCGGACGAATGCCTATAACATCAAGAAAAATACAAAATTCTTACCAATTATTTTAAGGGTTTTGATTTAATGCACTTAAATTTTACCAAAATAAATCGTGATGCTATAGGGATTGGACTGATGGAATAAAATGACGCAACACATGGACAATCTACTAAGAGTCTATCTGGAGGACTTTCTACGTAAAACTAGTCCTTTTTAGGTGTTGGACACGTAAAAATCCCAGAGAAAAAGCACGTGATTACTCTGTTGATCAGACTCGAACTCACACCAGTGTTAAGTGGTGTTATTCGCATCTCGCGCTGATATAAGGAATGTTCTATTGTTGTGATAGGTCATAGGTCGATTTCGACCATGATGCTCACAAATTTTTAAAAATAATTTACGAATAAACTTTCTATTTTATCACTTATCCCTCTTTTTGATCTTATTTAGAATCAAAATTGCTTCTATCAGGCAAAATCAAACAGAACAGGCAGATTTGTTGAAGCTTCGAGGTACTGTACAAATAAACAACTTTTCATAACAGTCCGTAATTATTGACGTATTGAAATTTTTATAGTAAGATTAAAGCTATAAAATTTTTCGTTNTAACATTTTGATATCATCATAGAGTTTGTTTCATATAAAATAAATCGATATTCGATTTGAAATTTTAATTAAATAGGTTAATACTTTCTATAAATAAAATGTAGGAAAAATTTAAATTAGAGAATATAAAAATATTCCATAATTTAGAATTTTTTTTAGATTTTAACATAGTTTTTAAGTTATATCAAGATATATTAAGAATTAAAAGGCTATTAAACCATATACTTAAATGCCTTTCTATTAATTTGCAATTCTAATAATTACTTTTGCATTAATTATATTTACTTTTTACTGTTCCGATGTTAAACACAAGAAGGAAACCCGGTTAACTCTACGTGACCAGTTCGTAGGTGAGGCGCAGTGTTCAAAGATTTTATTCACTCGGCCACTGGTGGACAAATTTAACAGAGGAATAATTTATTAGTAAATGTGGACATTTTATACAGAAGTTGACAGAGAGGGTTTTTAACTCTGAATTCGCTGACTTAAGCGCTCTGGCAGACTCGGGTTCGAATTCGAGCAGTCAGAGAATCTAGGGAATTTTTAGGGGTGTTCCACGCGGATATGTTAGGATCCGTCCCTCAACAATCGGCTGACCATTGTGGGCCTGGCCAAATTCATGATAGGTATAATTAAAGGCTCTCCTTAATGCTCATATGCCCCCAAAAAAAATCCAACTTAGACTTAGTTTGCGCGCTCCAAAAACATCACTTATACGAATTTTTATTTAAATTTTTTCATTTTTATCAAGAATATATAATTTATTTTATAGATCCCAGTGATAGCCGATCTTCCAGTAGGTTACAATCTTCAAGATCATATATATCCAGGTGGAGTTCATTTTCTAGTAGACGAACCTGTATCTGCTGTCCAATCTAGAATATTTAATTTATACGACATTACTAAGTACCTGACATTTGGAAAAGGTAAAAAAAAAACAATGTTTTAAAATTAGACTCTACATATTCAATCCGTTAAACACGATAAAATAAATAGATATTAATAAAATTTAAGCAGGATAATTTTTAAATTGAAAACGTTTAAGAATTTCACTATATAGGCACGTTATACAGTTCTAAGACCTTTAATACACACACAAATTTTCCTGTTATATAAACACGATTATGTTATTTTTATTATTTAGGACTTATAAAATTAATCTCACGTATTTGTAATTATATTTAGTAGTGTTAAGAATAAGGATAAAGTTAAAATTATAAATAATTTTTAGGACCATTAACGATGTTGGGTGGTCTCGAAGGACTAGGCTTTGTAAATACCAAATATGCCAACAAGTCCATCGATTTTCCCGATATTGAAATACACTTTATATCAGGATCTCCATCTTCTGATGGAGGGCAAACTTTCCACCGTGTTCAAGGCATAACTGATGAGGTAAGTGTTCATTTCCTATTTTTCTTTACGTAAAAAAATGGGATTTGTAAATGAAAATTACATCAATTTCAGCTCTGGGATAAGATATATCGACCTTTCCTTTTTTGGGACACCTTCTCTTTTTATCCAGTTCTTCTAAGGCCTAAAAGTCGTGGATTTTTAAAACTTCGTTCGAAAGATCCCTACGAATATCCCCATATAGATCCACGTTACTTGACTCATCCTGATGATATCAACGTTATGGTCGATTGTATGTAACTTTCTGTTATAAATTTATCAAATTAATGATTTTTATCACGGTAGCACGCACTTAAACATTTATAAAAGTATAAACAAGTTTAGATTTATATAAAAATTACGCTTAATCACGGATAACCGGTATTGAAAATTGATAATGGTAATAATTGGTAATTTATTGACATATATTTAATATATGACTGATAATAATTTAAATTAACGAGTGTTATTTCGGTGATTACGATTTATTTAGTATAATTTAATAATTTTTCTGATAAAAAATACTATTAAATCATCAGACTTTTATAGTCGAGATGGAAGATAAGCAGGAAAAAATTGCCATAAAACTGTATGTTTTCCCCTTAAAAAATTTTTATATCCTTAAATTTCGAAGGAAAGAGAAGGAAAATTTGGTAAATAAAATATAATAGTTCATTTAGCGTTTAAATTTGAGTTAAAAGGAGTGTAATTAGGACAGATAGATGACCGAGGAACTACCGCTGTAGGGCTTCCAAGATCGAATTCAGAAGAGCAATCTCAGAAAGTTTTCGTGGATAGGTCGGGCCCCATTTTCTAAAACCTGTCTCCATTGTGATCCTGGAGAAATGCACTGTTCCTCACCATCCATCCGCTCCATTGGGGTCTTGGGAGAATTCACGATGGATACGAGAAAAATTACAAAATGTAATTACATTCGTTTTTTTTATTATTGTTTTTTCCATACCTGTGGACAGTAAGAGGGCCTTTTCCTCAAATCCATCGTGGATTACTTCAGATCCACACTGGATATGGGGATAAAGGCCCTCTTACTGCCCACAGGGAGAAAAGATACAACAATAAAAAAGGAATGTAATTAAATTCTGTACTTGACCTTATATTAATATTTATTAAGAGTTAATTTATACAAGTCACCCTGAAATATATTAGAAAAAGTTTTTATCGATTTTAATTATAGGCATTAATTTTAAGTAGGATAAAATTGTTTGAGTGCGTGTCACGAAAGTAAAAAAAAAAACTTATTTAACTTTCCTTGTTATTGTTATTGTTATTACCGAATTAGTAATTTTATGCTTTTATTGTTTGCAGCTATGAAATTTTCTTTAAAATTAGGTGAGAGCAAACCGTTCAAAGCGTACGGTTCTCGAATGTTTCCAGTAAAATTTCCGGGATGCGAACATTTCAAAATGCTCTCCGATGAGTATTTAGCTTGTGTGGCACGCGTGTACACTTGTACCATTTACCATCCTGTGGGAACTTGCAAAATGGGATCTGCGCACGATCCTACTACCGTGGTTGATTTAGAATTACGGTAAGTAGAATTACGGTATATTTATATAATAAATGCTTATGAGGTTCTCATCTTTCCAATTTGCAGAGTGAAAGGGGTATACGGTTTGCGAGTTGTGGACGCATCCGTTATGCCAACGATAATTTCTGGAAATACCAATGCTCCCACCATAATGATAGCAGAGAAAGCATCTGACATGATTAAGGCCTGGAGGAAGCATCATTATCGAAGAAAGATCAGACGGTGACATAAATTATTAGGTGATGGCATCAATTTACGTATCGAGAGTGGCCAAGTGTGACAAATTCTGTATATTAACAAGTCACTGCCAAAGTCCAGTCGTCACTTAAAGCTGTCGTTGCCAATGAATGTGATCAGTTAGGCGCAAATTCGACAAAAAAAACTCCATATGCAGTATGTATATATGCCAAAAAAGATGAGAAGGTGTCTTGTATGGTTAACTGTTTAAAATACCATAATGCTCAACATTATTTATTTAAAATAAAATTAATTGTAAACTTAAAAACGACTTCTCTTTACTGTAAATGCACCCCTTTTATATAAAATTATTAATAATCCTCGACTTAAAATAATGCCTTTTAGATATATAATTTTATAATTTTAAGAAAATATTTGTATAAATCGTTTGTTTCAAATGATATTAACTTATAGTTCTATAAATTCCTTATTTATTAAGTTATATGTGCTCAAGAACAATCTTTAACTATGTTATAATAATAAATATATTAAAAAGTGTCAAATGATACATTTTCGGTTATATTTATCAGAAAAACACACATTTTCCACTTTTTCCATGGTATAAGGTTCTATATATCGTTTTGAATCACGTTGCCTGAATTGTAATTGTTACGATTGGCACCCTATTAAGTTTCTTTAGTGGTGGAAATGTCCTATGGTAATGCAACTGTTGTCCATCCACGTGACGAATATATCATAACTGCTACTTACTTAATGGATATCTTCATAAACCATAACACAGGAATTTAATGAGATAATCCTCTGCTCGTATACGTCCGCAGACCAGAACAGGAACATTAACTATTTGGTCTACTTTCTTCCTGGAATTGACAATAATAGACAATCTGTGTCGTCACTCAGAAGGTCACGGAGAATGGACTCTCTGAGGAGGAATGTGATTATGCGCACTCCCTCATCGCAAGACGAGCAACAAGGTTGACATTTTCATGCCAGAACAATGGTATCACGCAGAAAGAACAGGCAAAGGTGAAGAGAACTGAAGAGAAATCAGAAGAGAAAGTGAACTGACTAAAGATTAACTGGCTGCAATAGAGAAAAAATGACCTAGACGTAATTTTCGTCAAGTATGAATAAGATAACATTTTTCACAGCATTCTTATAACAAAGAAAAAATTAGATCTCATTCCGTAGGCATTTCTAGCAGCTCACCATTTGTACGGCAATCCTTTTGCCTATTAGTAAGGCAAAAGATGAGCTGATGGAACTTTGCAAAAACAAAATCATTCTTTTGCATATCAAGCTTTTTGAGGCATTGAAAACAAGCTGTAACCAATGTCCGTCAGCGATAATTGAATAAATACGAAAGTAAAAGTTTCATGATTATGCCAAGGAATAATGGTTACAGCTATCAACATAATTTCTTGGATTTATGATATTTATACTAAACTATTGTAATTAAGATTAATAAATTTTGAATTTTCATGCAAGATCTTTAAAATTTCTTCCGGAAAAGTTAAGAAATCTGACTCAGGACGGTTGTCCTCTACTGCGAAATAATACACCTGTATATACGGTATCTAATAGTTTACATCCACAGTTGTACAGGAGTTACTTATATGCTGTTTTATATACATAAAATAGAAGTTCGTTTATTCGATACCAGATTATGAGAAATGTTCGGTAATCCGGTACTTTTGAAAATTAATCAATAATCTGGTACTTTGCTAATCAAAACTTGTTTGGACACGTGGTGCTCTGGAAGACTCTCCGACGGAAACACGATACACGATTGAAAAATAAATATATGCACACGAGTCATTGTACAATGAAGTGTTCACTAACGTTTTTTCAGGTTTTTCAATCAATCATAACACAGTATAGTCACACACTACATCATCTGCAGACCGATTAAAGAGCGTGCGTTAAGAAATCGTGCATACAGAAGCGTGCGTTAGGTCAATGTCTGTAACCTTCATATCACATATCTTATCGAATTATGTGAAAATACAACAAGGCCGGTAAATTGACATTTTCGATAAGCCTTCGCCATTTTGGTTCGTACGTGCCCGATTAACGAACTTCTGTATGGATATTTACTCATTATTCAAAATCTACGGTGTATGTTAGACGAATTTGTGGTTTATTCATATACGTAAATATTTAGACAACATAAATAAACATTTATGTAAAAACCGTTATTTTACCTAAGTGCTTGTTATAAATTAATTTCCCACCTGTTATACAAGAGGGAAAGTATGGGGTCAAAACATGTAAAACTCTTGGAGATCAAAAAGACAATAATTTTTAACTTTTTCTACCCTTTAAGATTTTTACACTTTTGGACTCATGGGACCTTAGCATGTCAAGATACACAAAAACTTGGGAGTTTTTCTGTATTGGTGTATGGGTATGGGTGAACACGATTTTCTTCACCAACTTTGAAGCTCAATAACTCCTGTTTTTTCTGTCGAAAATTTTTGAAATTTTGCAGTAAGATTTGTGTATTAAAGAGAAATGTTTTAAGAAATTTTCAGAAAAATCGAACCACTGTTTCGGGAGATATAGCCTCACCCTCTTAATATCCCCCAAACCAATCTATATAATTACAAAGGTAATGGTAACAATTATTAGGGATGAAAACAAATAAAGAATGATGAAAAAGTTTATAAACTGTGTTGCCAGCTTATTTTTAATCTTTTCTTTAAATATAGAAAGTGAAATGAATTCCGGAAATTAAAAATATTTCATCGAACGAAAGAAATTATTATATTAAAATAATTATATTTTGGAAAAAACGAGCCCTTTATAGGGCAGAGAATTTTCTATAATTATCAGCAAAAGAAAAATAAAAGAAGCAACTTTAAATGTAAAAAAAGGGCGTCTCCATTCATTAACGGGTTTGTCGAGATTAGACCGTGAAGAGCAATGCTAAAACCGGGACATATTTCTTGAATTTTTTGCTAATAATAGTATTCGATTGTCTATTCTGTAGAAACGACGCCAACGAACTTCTTGTAGTCAATTAATGTAATTATTTTTGCTAATAAATCTATCTGCATAGGTAACTTTTCTAGTTCAGGCACTCTCTCCCTCCCTCGCTCTCTCTCTCTCTCACAGGAAAATATTCAGACCATGAAGAAAATTCGATTTTCTACTTCCACGTGTTGTTATTATAAATAATAGGAAAATAAGATGGTTGTAACAACACCATTTTGAACATTCTTAAGCGTAAATTAAAAGTGGGTCGGACTTAATATCCAACAATTTTGCTATGGTTCTCAATCTCGGTCTACCTTACAGCTATAATTTCATTTGTACAGCTATAATTGAAATAATTTCAACAGAGTTCAATACCGCAAGACCGGAATTTCGTATAATAAATTACAAAAAAAACGTGTTTTAGATGAAGTTTATGTATTAATTTCAATTTTTTATGCAGCTATATTACCGTAGTTGTTTCCTTACTGTAATCAACTATGGTTCTAACTGTGGTACTATGTTAGCATAGTTGAAAACCTTACTACTGTTTCCTGGCCTACCGTTCTGGAGGATCCGGGTTCGAATCTGGGAGATCAGAAATGTGGGCTTTGTCTTTTACCACTTGTGTGTCTAGCCGAATCCACGATGGGTATGATTAAAAAGCCCTCTTAGTAATGCCTACAGAACGGGGAGAGAACGAAAATTGCTGAGTTTTTGGAAATTCCATATAAAATAGACATAAATTAGCCTAAAATATAACAGAACTTTATGCCTGAAAGTTAAGGAAAAGAACTGAAAAAATCAGTTATTGATAACAGTTTGATTTTGAAAAAAATAAGATTAATATGTTCAAGTTCAATAACTCTACGAGCGATATTTAATTTTCCTGTAACGAATTGATAAAAATAATGGAAAAAGGCACGAAAAGAAATGTGATTTTCGTATTTTACCATATCGATAATCTGTCAAAATTAAACATCAATCAGCGAATTAAGAGGAGCAACGACCGATAAAATTCGATGAAATCATCAAAATTTAATTACTCATGGAAATCTGACCTTCTAATTTCAAATTAAAAAGGGAAAAAATAAGATTATTAACGAAGAAATCAGGTCCTGTCCGACTGATCTCCAATAAGTCATTAATAACGTTATTAAAACAATTTACATAGTAAGACACGGCTGAAAAAATTCCCGATAAGGTTAATCATGTTTACTTTAATGTTTACATAAATAGGAAATGATTATTATGATTATTTTCGGGTTTTTTTTTCATTGGTACGATGCTCTACGGTTCCCACGAGATCGAGTGGTTCTTTTCACTTTTGTTGGTATCGCCCATATCTCTTATTTAATTGAAGAAGTAGAACACGTTCTATTTTCAAGTAGGGGGAATTTAATATTATAAGTATATATGTATTTAAAGATCTACACGTAAAACTTTAGGAAGCTATAACGCTATATCTCTACAATAAGTTGACTATGACAATAAAAAATATGGGTCAATTCTTAAAATAACTTTTTAAAAAGTCGAACCGTACTTAGTGGGTGTGTTTTGTACTTTAACTACGTAATTAATGCGTAAAAAGTCGATTTATTTTTTAAATATGTGAATAAATAAATAATTAGAAATTGCAAATGATTTTAAATTGTTTTTAAAATATGATATGTAGTTGGAAAATGGTCTTTTTGCGTGTCTATAATTTAGAGAAATGAAGCAAAAAAAGTTTCTATGAATAGTGATAAATCGTCGAAAAATTCTTTTATGAGGTAGTTAAAATATTGTTATGTAGTGCTATGTTATCAGTAGGGTCGAATTAATATACTTATGGGCCTTACATATTAGGCACCATAGAGCCTTGCACAATAGAAATTTACCTGTGGACCTACTTATTTACGACTCATGAGACATTGCACCAAAGAAATTTACTTGTGGGTCCTACATAATCGAGATTCGTGAGCCATAGAAACTTAGTAGATTCTCTAGATTAGGGATTCGTGAGCCATTGCACAATGGAAACTTATGTGTAAAAGTCTTATAGAGAACATCTTATAATAAGGTGTTCTCTATAAGATTAGGACATACTAACAAAAATCTAATTATTTTAAAGAGAGAATAGAGTCGTCTCGTTACGAGCCCTTTCTATCTAAGAGCCCTACATAGTTACGTATTTACGTAAGGATTAATGCAGCCAACTTTATTAATTTATACTTATTCCAAAAAAATATTCCATAAAATCTTATCATCCTTTAATTTCCATAAACTTTCAACAACTTTTTCCATAAAATAAAAAAACTAATTAAATACGAAACGTGCCTTTCATTCTAATTATTTTTTATATTTTTATATTTTATTTTTTTTACATCGAAATTATAATTTTTGTAATTTTAAAATTTAGGTTATCGCATTAAATACCAGCCTTAGGTGATCTCTTATAACAAAATTAGCATGCTATTTTTTTAGAATTAGGTCTTTAATATTATTATTAATCAAGTGAAGTAGCATGCTACATGACCTTATGAATATTCTTTACTTTCATAGCCATGCTTTGAACCTTTCTACTTCAGAATAATTATCACTGCGATCTTCAAAGAATATAAAATTAGATCTATAATCTTCAATGTATTCATTTATTTTTTTCTTTTTAAATTTTTAAGCAAGAGAAGAACAATGAGAATCAAGTTTCATGATGTAAAAGTCTGGTTAACTTGATATTCATGTAGCAAGAAGTGGTACCGATCATCTCAGTTCGATACCAGCAAGTTTTTTTCTAAATTTATAAATAAATTAAGTTACATATAGTAATAATTTCTTTAAATATAAATTTAATTGTGTTTACGACTCCATAGAAATTAATAGGGTTCATTGACTCACTTCACCATGGGGAAACCACTGAATACTTTCTATAAATGTCACGCCTTAGTTATTAATGTTCATCTGTTATCATCAATAATTACTTGATTTCCAAGCGTTTTACAGTATTATTTATATATCTTATTGTGAATTATTCTAAAAAACGTATTAATTAATTCTTTAATCACGGTTAAATTGGGGAGGAGAATGAATTTTTGAGCGGTTATGTGTTTGAAGTAGGCATCGGGTACACACATTTTTATAATGTACAGGAAACATAAATAATGGTTATCGTGTTATCACTGTCATATTTACATATCCGGAATTAATTTTCGCCCTTAAAAATACTTTTCACTGATTTCTTCCTGACCTTATGGGTAAAAAACCATCCGGAACTTACATTCAATTTCCGGGTATAGTTGCCCTATTTAACTTTCTATCTGTGAAACTTTTTTATTTGTTTCACTTAAGCCTGGGTGGTTTATGTGAAAAATCTTTGAAAAAATAAAGAATTATAAAGAAAAGAGTCGAGACTTTTCACCTTTCTTCACACTTTTCATGTCAGGACAAAAGAAAGATGTTTTTTTTTTTTTGCACCTAAAAGGGGGAAAACAAGTAACTTTACGCATGTTGCACTCATTAATTATGAAAGAGAAATCTACACGCTAATAATAACAATATATATATTTTGTTATTTTTAATTTATTATTATTATCGCACTTTTTTCGCATTGAATCTTAGATTCTTCCTCTCTCCTTTGGGAATGGAGGAAAATGCCATTTTCACTCAAATAGGGGCTGATTATAATCTGTGACGACTCCACCCATATTGTTCTTCAGACCATGAAAATCAGCCAACTAACTTACCTTTCGTGCAATTTCACATATTAAAATAACTTGGAAAGGACGAGAATATGATTTTGCTTAAGGCAACAGCGATACAATAACCGAATAAAAATTCACAATAAAAAGTAAATTAATAAAACAAAAAATAGGAGACGGAGAGGATCGTGTTTTTAAATACATGATTATAGCAGGAGAATAAGGAGGAAGTTGCAGTTAAACGGTACAGGTTTATACGTAAGTTGCACCTGTTGAAAGCATGGATTCTTGCAGGGGAGAGAACTATTTTATAGTCTCTACAGTGAGGAATTTAGACGTATCTTTCACAATCGATACGTCTACGAACCTTTCATACTATTGTTTTCGTATTGAAAATCAGATAAATATGACTCCAACTGATAAAGATCCACAATATATTCTGATAAAAGTGGATTCCTTATACGTGTCCGATGACCTACTTAAAAATTTACTACTTCTCATGAAAAATATTAAAGAAATTGAACGGAATTCTTATGAAAATAATAGATTTTTCTAAGAGATAAAGTAATCTCGTATAATGCTAGAGGTTAAGATTAGGATTTCAGGACGAATTCAGGAGCGCTTGCTTTTCTACTCATGTTGTCCTGCATCCAATATTTTGTAGGTCAGAAATCTACTAAAGAATTGAAGTTCAAATCGTGATGTCGGCACTATTTACTCGTCTAGCCAGGCTGACATATTTTTAGAAAAATGAATTTTATCCCCGAAAGCGGCATACGAAGAATCCATTTCCTTTTATTACCGATATTGTTTACTGGTTCGGTATATTAAATTATCTTTCGAATTTTATCCGCAAATTTATAGCCCTAAGACGAAAATCCATTTGCGTGACATCGAAAAAAAGTTTTTTGTGTATCCACCATAGCGTTAAGGAATGCTTATTGTATGCAATTTACTAGAATAATTCGATTTTCTTTCTCAATCAATAAGGTTGCGTATAGAACAGATAGGTTTCTATGCGTTACAAACAATATGGGGAAGTAATTGATAGAATTAAATATAAGTAAACATATGAAAAAACAAAATATTTGATTTATATATTTGATAATGATAAAGAAAAGGATGAGACGAGAGCAAAAATATCTTCTCTGATTCTCCCGTTCTCTGATACTAGGAAGGAAAAACTGCTATGAAATTCATGTTAATTAACTCAAATACTTTCAAATATTATTATTTATATATAAAAACTGTCTCTGTTTCTAAATATATTCACTCACACATACGTAAAATTACTTTAAAGACTAATTAACTCACTTTATCACCATCACAAATCATTAGCACAATTGCAACTTAGTATTCCTGAGATGCTTTTTTGTTTTGACATTAAATAAAGTCGGTGTTCCCAAATTATACAACAAAAAATTGCACTTTACACTCTTCATTTTTAATAGGAGGATATATTATTATTATATTTAAAATATTAAATATATGCAGAATTGTTAGTGAATGAAATTAAAATATGAGTAAATGGTAAAAGGTTCTGATTCTGATCAGATTTCAAGCAAACATATTATATTTTCAATATTTAATCGGAATCAGCAGGAAGATCCAAAGGAAGAGAGTCAGAAAAATCAGTTTGTTTCAACTCAACCTGAGTTGGAGTAAACTGGCAGGAATAGTTTCAAAATTTAATATTTTTATATAAAAAATATATAATACGAAACCGATACAAATTAAAATTTCATTTCATAAGTGGTAAAAGACGTGTTTTTTATTTTTCCCATTGATTTTATTTACATATTTTTAAGATTTTCGAAGAGAATGAGAACCTATATTCATGACTAGCACAGATCTCATCTCTTAGACCCTTTTAGTGAGTGAGTATTTTTTAATTATTAAAATACAGTGTTTAAGAATTGTGATAAGAAAGTATATATTCATATAATCATATTAGCTCTTTATGAAAATGGAATGGGGTGAGAAAATACCAAAGAAATATAATGGGAGGGAAGGACGTTCCATGGAAATTGGCCCGCTGTTTAGGTGTTAGACGTGAAGAAACCCCGGAACACTCTACAGTGAGGGGCGAATCCACGACAATACTCAGTAGTTTCATTAAGCCGGTCATATTTACATAAGTAACAAAGATTTTTTGTATATTTTACGAAAATATAAGCAAAATATTAAGGTTGTTTTCTAAATATAACACTCTCATTATAAATACAAGTTTCTCCGTGTTTTAGGCTAATTATATCATGTTATTATATATTGTGAAATAAATGTATAACATATGTATCAGTAGAGTAATGGTTTTTACTTTAATTTATTCAGTAGTTTACCTTTAAATAAAAAGGGAAATTTTTTTCGCTTACAGCAAATATGACATCATTGAGGGATTCAAGTTTCATTTAAAGTTATGGTTCGATAATTAAATTTCAAATGATTTGAATCCGGAGAAAATAATAAGGGCGTAAATAGAATAGGCCTATATCCAATATTTCGGAAACTAGAGTAATCATAATCGATCAGGCGATAAGTCATCCATGCATGAAATTACCAGCAGAAATTTTAGAAAGTCTCCTTTACCAATTGCTCTACCGGATTTTGATGTAATCACCAGAAAAAAAACAACAAGTAACGATCCATTTTTAATGGTTTTTATGAGTTTTATACCCTAAGGATGTTAGGAAAAGTTATGATTGCTCATACAGCTGATAAAAATCATCCGGCCTGCAGCGAATGAGATCTCGTACGATCTTCTCCAAAACGGAATAACCGGAAAAGGAATTTGTCATTTTATTTTGGAATATCGAAACTTAAGTCCTTAACCTTGTTCAATTATTAAAAAGCAAGCAATCTATTAAGTTCGATGCGCGAAACGGATAAAAATAGTATAGTTTTTCATTGGATAACTGGTTATCCAATGGGAGATAAGGCATCCGCTGACCTACTGTTCCTTAATAATACAGTTTTCTTACTAATAGATCATTTAATAAACTCAGCCAGTTCTTTATTCGCTCAGTATTTAAGTATAGTGTGTAAATTTCGGTTCGTTTTTGTACTCTCTCTCCTCCTCCATCATGGTGCAAGGAGTGAATTTACTAAAAACTATCTTCCCCATCCTTGCCATGACGCTCCAAATGTCTAACAGAGGAACGGATTTATTAATGAAAAAATTCGATAAGGTGTATGATTATATAATTGGTAAGCGATATTTTTACGTTCATTCTTGCTGGCAGATAACGTTGCAACATGCTAATTTCGTGGTTATATCTTCCTCCTTGCTGTTCTATTTTTGATTTTTTCTCGAGATGCTCTTCGTTTTATGTTCTATTATTCATGAATATAACATAAAACGAAACAGTTTTGTTAACTTAATTAGAATTTTTCTTATTTTCTGACATACATTTTAGGTCAAAATAATAATTTACGATAACAAACGAGAACGTGGATTTTTTTATTTTATTATTTTTCTTCTATTTTGTAAGCAGAAATTGGTAAATTACAAATCGAAGAGTCGTTAAAATAACCAGGATTTTTAAACATAGACTAAAATTACATAACTATAAACGAGTTTAAACTTCGGATATTTATAGAGTTGCTTTATACTTTGGTGTTTAGAGAGATTTAAAAGTTGGCCTTCATGCAAACCGGGATTGGTCTAGTTACGCGAATATCCCGTGTTGCGTGAAAATTTAATATGACTAATTTGATACTAGCATTAAAATTAGAAATAAAAGTTTAATGGGAATAAATTATTGTTTCCTTTAAAACACTTAAACTTAAGTAAGAAATTACTGAAGAACCTTGTGGCAAGGCGATTGTTTCTGTTCGGTTATCAGAAATCGGTTTAGAATAAAGAAAGTGCTGATGATTACTCAACTGAAGCCAATGAAAGGACACTCTAGCTAAATACTTGAAGTAGAACTGTATTAAAAAAAACTGTACTTGAGCCTCTATTAAATTTATTGTTTAATCACTTTTCCAACGAACTGTTCGATGTCAATTATCGATTATATTTATAGGATAAAGCAAAACGTTTCCTCCTCCATATTTATGGATTTAAAAGATAATATATCGTAATTTTTTCATTTTTTTCCCATAATTTTAGATATAAAATACGGTTAATTTGCTACGGCTTTAATGTAAAAGCTGATTCATACAGAGGGAAAAATATAAAAAAAAATCAGATCAAACTTCCTTCTATCAATAATAATATTTTTTCTTTTTACTTTAATTTTGCGTATCGAATAATTTCATTTTATTTTCTCAATTTTTATTTATGTTTCAATCGGTGTCATTGGTATTTTTTTGTGGGGAAAATTTAAGATTTCATAAATTATTTTCTCATCACAATAGTAATAAGCATCGACCCGAGGCGTTATCACCAACTAACAAAGAACGAAAGAAGAGCTTTTGTTTTCTAATTACCCGTTTATATCATAGAATCTGGCTAAAAGAAACCACAAAGGGTTCCTATTTGCGTGCACAGTTCAGTGATATTAGTTGCAAAGCAGAAATGGGTCATCCAACACCCTCTTTTTATCGGGGTATATGGGAATATTTCTAAAAAAGTTCTAAGATTACCATCTGGGTATGACACTTAACGCTCTCGTTATTTGTTAAAGGAATGAATTAACTGTTCTGTGTACTGTAGAAACTTTGGAACAATTCTCTATCGATGTTCAAGTGTCAAAATCTCTTTAAAATCTGATAAAGTATCTCCATTCGAAGATAAGAATTACACTACTCTAGTACACGCGTTTATAGAGTTAATTTTGTAGTCTTAATAGTCATTTGCGAGTACTTTATAGTGGAGAGATAGGACCATAGTCAATTTCCGCTGTATTTTATAAAAGTGGGTCAAAAGAAAAATATAGAGCGGTAACTTCTTTATGCAAATAAAATGGACAACTACTTATAGAAGTGATCATTACTATAAAAAGGAACACATGTCCAACAGGCATAAATCGTTTTTCATAATATTATGTTTTGCTTTATATAAATGTAAGTATCAAGAAATGTTTAAAAAACATATATATATTTATTTTTTAACGAAAATATCAATTTATTTTTAACAAGTTTAGAAGAGTTTCAAGGAAGATATTACTTCCCTCTCATAATAAAAAACCCCCTTAATTAATAATACATTTCTTAAAATTTAAGCAGAAATAAAGCAAGGAAAATTAATTAAAAAAATGTATTAAATTTCAATTTGTACTACTTTGCTCTTGCCAGTTTTTTAATTAATCAAGAAATCGTATTGATAATCGTTAAGAAATCGAATTTCCTATAGAAAAAGTCGTCACCTTTCTCTCGTCCTATTTATAATCAATCGAGGTCGAAATGATCTCCTTTATATAAGAACACTTGTAGAAAAAAAAGCCTATACACGTGAATATACCAACCGGAAGAAGGCCTTAATTAGGTAAAGTTAATTATAGGAAACGCTTCTTTTGAGCAAGGAAATGCAGCAGAATATTTAAGAAAAACTTCCGGTTTGATGATAACATTTATAGGTTATTACATTATACGTATAGTTTTTTAGATTATCAAATATAATTAAACCTTATGGGAGTTTTAGTGTCATTATATACGTTAAAGACGTTACGAGTTTCAGAAATTAATTTGATTTGGAATAAGTAAAAAATAAGAAAGACAAAATCATAAAGAAAATTACGATTTTTATATATATAAAATATAAGCGGATCCAGAAATATTTAGAGAGGGATACATAAAAGAAACAATATGACTTATCTGAGGTACTCGGCTTACTCTGGTAAAAACCCCTAGAAGGGGATGAAACTGCGGCCTGTGTAATCCCTAAATCCACCCACCACACATATATGTATATAGTTATATATATATATATATATATACACACACACATACATACATATACGTACTGTACATATTATGTGTGGAGGGCGGATTTAGGGGATACACAGAGATACATATGATATGAGCATATACAATACACATAGATAATACACATTATGTTATGTTGTTTGTACTTTGGAATAGTATTAAACAGGAGGTGAAGATGACGATGATGACATAATACATATATAAATATTGCCTGTATGTAGGCTAACCACGTACACACACGTCCCACATATAAAGATTTATATAACACAATTTATATAATTTATATAAGACTTTGAACTTAAAACATTTTCTTTATATGAGACTTGAATTAATCAGATTGAATTTTTGTAAAAATGTACAAAAAATAATTTGTTATAAGTCAAATATCTAAGTATAATAAAAACAACTTACTACAGGCCAACAACTTATGCAATATGTGTTACACCAGATTTTTCAAGACCGTCTTTTCTGTTCTTGACCGAATTATAAGAATTATTAAAAATATATTTTGTATCATTAGNAAAATATATGTGAGATTAATAATAGTGGCTTAATAAAGAAATCCTTAAGCACCGAAGAGGATTCTGGTTCGAATTCCGTAGAAAATGTTGATTTTGACCGCAGTATCTGTTTATTGTTAATATTTTAAATGCCATTATACAGCGAGGGACCAGGAATTCCTGGCTCCCCAATCTTTGTTAATAAATAAAGAAACAATCAAATAATTACAAGAAAACGATTTTAATGTGAAAAACGCACTTAAACGTATATACAATATCTAAGAATATGCTCTTCATTCATAGCGCTAGTGGCTATGCCACATTGGTACAAAGTTTAGACGTTCTACTTTGAGTTCTCAATATCAGTTCTAGTTGCTGTCTTTATATTTGATTGGCTTTTGAATATGAATGAAAAGATTTGGGAAAAATAACGGAGATGGAGTTTTAGAGTTTTATTCTTTACTATTGGAATGTGTTGGACCAGTAAAGCCTATAGTATACGTAAAACCGTGCTATGATATCAGTAAAATTATGGTGTTTTGTCAGTAAAACCCCATTATTGTGCCAATAAAACCATGCTTATTATTCATTCAATATCTATTAAATATAACTTTTTACCGATAATTTTAAGATGTTTACTAACTATTACATTCTACAAAAATTAAATGAATAAATTTCAAAATAATTTTTTTGTAAAAATGTACAAAAAATAATTTGTTATAAGTCAAATATCTAAGTATAATAAAAACAACTTACTACAGGCCAACAACTTATGCAATATGTGTTACACCAGATTTTTCAAGATCGTCTTTTCTGTTCTTGACCGAATTATAAGAATTATTAAAAATATATTTTGTATCATTAGATTCACACAATTTATAATTACATAAACAATTATAAATTGTGTTAATCTAATAAGCGAATTAGAGTTAACAAAATGTTGAAACCTTTAAAAAGTTATATCTGTTTCGGCGTATCTTTTAATATAATTCTTCCATTAAAAAATTAATTTCTAGTTCATAAAATATAAGAAAATTTTAAAAAGTGAGTAATTATTCTTAAAAAGACTCGAATTACTTGAACTTTAGTCTGATTAATACATATGCATGACATAAACGTGTTAAAGTAAACTAGTTTCTGGTGTTGTAAGTTCACTGACATATCATGAATTGGCTTGAGGCTATATTGTTAAATTACATGATTTCATTAGTATTTTTAACGTGGCATACTTCTAAAATTGTGATCGTGTTTGATTTCGGTCTTTCCAGGCTAATAATGTCAGGTTTTCCATTGATGTCAATGTCAATGACAATGATGGTATCGTTCTATCCAAATCGAATGTAGGTTAGGAACTTTAAAAAAATGAGTAAATTGTAATCTTTAAATTGATACGTACAGTACGTCATTTACTCGCCTTATCTGAAATTAATACTCATTGATGGGTTATTGAAAAATAAAGACAAAGATCTTCCACTGTTTTAAATTGAAAAAATGTTACTTGTAAATTAGCAAGTTATCTTATTTACTCGCACTACATGATAATAATGGGTAATAAAAAACGAGGAAAATTAGAATCTGTTTTGTTAAAGTAATAAAGCCTATCAGTCAGGGGTAGCCGGAATCAAATTCGGGCTAAGAACACTCGGTAAGATTCCGTTATTGCGATCCCGTCCCTCACCGAGTGGCTTTCATTGTGGGCCTGGCTAAGATAGCCTTTTTTCATACACGTAGTGGGTTCCCTTGTGGATGAAAAAAAGACCTCTTAGTGCTCAGAACAGAAAGGGCCAAAAATGAAAAAAAATGGTAGAAACAATAAATAAAATTAGCTAGATACAG